ATTCTCCAAGACAGGGGTGAGCAACCTTTTTAATCAACGAACCAATTAAAATTTTAAAATTTTTCGGCGTGCCGAACATAAAGTAACACTTATGAATAATTTACAAAACTTTATTTATAATAAACATTAGAATAAAAAAATATATGATTTAAAAAAAAGTTAAGATTTCATATACAAATTTTAAGGCAAAATAAAAACAAACAAGAAAAGAACAATAAAACGAATTTACTTGAAATTTTTAATGAGAAATTTGGCACTGTTTTTTCGATACAAGCTGATCAATATCAGCCGGAATTAATGAGGTAGCTACACGTACGCAGCTTTCTAATAGTGCATCACTCAGTCTTGATCGGTGGTCATTTTTGATTAATTTCACGGTTGAAAATAATTGTTCCCAAACTTACGTACTTCCAAACAGAGACATCATTTGCTTTGCATTTTTCGACAAAAGCGGAAATTTCTCAGGGCTCACATACGATTTATAAAAATTTTCTATGTTTACTGAGAAAAATAAATTTTTTAAATCGGTCTTATTCTGCATGTCAATCACTTTCATTTGAAAGTCTTCATTCCATTTGCAAGTATCCATATCGATATTAAATGGCAAGGAAAACATTTTCATGGAAACCACTGTCTTCTCAGCTTTGAACATTTGGAATCGTAATTGAAATTCGTTGATTAAAATGTCTATATAGCGCGTATTTTTGAGAAGTAGTAACGTTTTCTTTTTTTCAAATGTGGAAAGTGAGACACATTATTCTGCAAAAGATGCTGTTTCGACAATTTTAATTTACGCTCAAAGCCCTGAATTTTATCATACAAATTGTGAATAAACTGTCCTTTGCCTTGAAGTTCCACATTAAGATCATTGAGATGCTGAGTCATGTCGATAAGAAACCCAAAATCGTCACAAAAATTTTTTTCGGTTTAGTATGTACTACCATTTTATTATAATTAATTTTATGACAATACGATGGGAGAAAGTCGATAAAATAAATTCAATTTTAGAAATGCTTGGCGGGCAGCATAAACTTGTTTAACGGGCCGCAAGTGGCCCGCGGGCTGCGTGTTGCTCACCCCTGCTCCAAGAGATGATTGCGGTCTAATCTTCTAAATATTACCCTAAATGTTACCCTTTTCAATTTTATAAAGCAATGTTGAAATTTGTTTTTCATTCTCCAGAAATGATGTGTCTTTTATTATTTAAAATGAGAACTTAATAATATATTACCCTTATAAGTGTGAGTTTATATGAAAAATAAATGCTATTATATTCTGTTATTAGACTTTTAAGGTATAATATTGAAAAACGATCTATATGATAGTTTTGATATTAATAAAAAAAAATATTTTAAAAATTTTGTTTAATTTGACTTAAAACAAGGGTTTTTCAAACAAACAATTTTTAGGGACAATCAATTTGATTCATTATCCCTATCTCCATCAATATTTAAGCTAGGTTTCCGAATTTTTGTGCAGTTGTTTCATATGATAATCAACGCAATGGACATGAGTTATAAACTTATGACTGCGTTTTTGGGCACAGGGTGTTCAAAAACAATATTTGTCGTTCGCTATTTTTGCCGGTCCCTTAAACTTCTAAAAGCTTTAAACTTTATTAATCTGTATAAGAAATCATATCACCAAAACACTTCTAACTTTTTAAAATAATAAAATAATTTAATATTTCAAGAGAAATATGAAAAAAATTAGTTAGCACAGAACCGTTTCCACTATTTTTCCTATCCCAATAATAGAGCAGTGCTTTTTAAAATAAGAAGTGATTGCCAAGATTTGAAGAAAATTATTTTAAGTATCGCTTATTAGCTACTATAATTTTTTTTTTTTAAATTCGGAATATAAGTTGTATGTGTCTTTCAATTTTTATTAGTAATGGATATATCAACAGTATCATCAGAAAAATGCTGAAGAAATATCTTAGCCATATTTAATTTTAAAAAAAATTAATATAGATACGATAAATTTTTTCTGAGGACTACCATTTAAGTCACTATTTATGAGTAAGTCATCGTACTTTAGAGCTGCTAACTTTGCCCGACCAAAAAATTATTCTTTTCATTTTTAAATAAAAATTAAATTCTATGATTAATTAAATATAGTTTTAGTTAATTTGAATAAACTAATTTATGCATACGCATATCGTGCTACTATGTTCTTGTTATCGTTTGTAAAAATTTAATCCATTATAGTTTCGCGTTCGAAAACTAGCCAGTTTCTTTATCCAAAAACATAAAAACTTGAAACACAATTATTTATTTCTTAGATTTAGTTTGGAGAAACGAAATAAGCCTACCCACAAAGATATTTCAGAAATTTAAAGCTTGAAAATTTAATCTATAATTTTATGAATTTCAGTATACCTACAGTCCTTAAAAATTTAAAATTAAGTAGTAATTGTGTGATGTTACGTATTTACCACTACGCTTACTATTTCCAAATAAATAAATCTTATTGTGAAATCAAAGGTTTTGAAATTTTAGTACTAAATTAAAGGCTAGCAAAAAGAAATTTATAACCACTTTATTAGAATATTGACATTATTGTTTTAGAATTTTAAGGACAGCATGAAGCCTGGACTTAAGAATTTTTTTAAAAATTATCGACGAAATAGCTAAAGTAAGAAACTTCTCATAATTTCTGTAATATAACTTGTCTAATTATTCCAACATGAAAAGACTGACGAATATGGGTTTAATTGTTGGAAAAGTCAAGTCCGCAATTAAGTTTTTTTTCCAACCATAACCATTTTGTCTGGTCTTTCGTAGAAAGAAACACTATAATACAATGACATTATATTAAATTTGAGTTCAATTCCTAAATCGGTTTTCAGAAATACATATAAATAGCGACCATCTCCTTTGATTTTAGAGCAGCATTGCTTTTATAACATTGAAAATAGTAGAAAAAAAAGATATAAGTTTGTGCAATCAATTTTATTTAACAGAGCAATATTTGCATACTTCAATTATTTTATTAAACTATTTCTTAAATATAAGTGTTATTAAATAAATAATTTCAAGATGGAAGAAAATGAAACAACTATTTCAAAAAGAGGGCAATAAAAATGGAAATGTTTATTAGTTTCACCAAAATAAGTTTAATTATGAATAAAAGTTTTGATAAGGGCGAAGAACTGATTGTAAAGTCGGTTTGCATTTAGAAACCAACACGCTTCGAGAAAAATACTTTTTAATCCTTTCAGATAGATTCTTTTTTTCTTGAGTGATTACGTGGTTGAGAATATTGATTTTCGTATCATTCGGTCTACGTCGGTTATCTTAGAAGAGCGTGACTTACATTTAGACAAACTTTGCATAATCCTAATTTATGATCACCATTCTAAATTTTGAAGTTATAAATTAAATTATGAAATCGTGTCCTAATTTTATTTCACTGCAAGATAAAAATCACATACATTTTCATTTAACTAAAGCTTTATAGTGTTTTCTGGCTATTAGGAAATTTATTTTTATTTGGAAACAAAATTCTTATTTCATATTACCATTAATGTTGTTACTTTAAAAAAACATATCATAAGAATATTTAAACAGAAAATTAGTTCCATGAAAATCAGTCATATTAAACACTTAGAGTAGTGAATCGCAACCTTTTTAGTTGTGCAAGAAAAAAGATAATTTTTTTAATTTTTACATACTTTTGTTATAGTGTACTTAAGTAAGGTATTTTTGATCTATTAGCCATTTTAATGAGCTTAAAATAACACTTAAGTACCTAATATAACGTTTCATTGTTTTACATAATTATGAACCTGTTATTTAGAAATAATTGTTTTATTTCATGAAATGGAATTTAATTAAATGATATTAAAAAGAAAATAGAATAATTTTTTTTTAATTTCATGAAATAAAAGAGCCTTACATATTAACATATAAGCTTATAATCCTTTTTTAAAAATTCCAAATTTAGCATCTTGGCATTTTTTTTCTAAACTATTAAAATTTAGATACATTTCTTTCGATTTAAATATTATTTCTCTAAAATTCATTAAAAATTATTGAATTTTTAAATGTATAAAAATGCAAAGCACACGTTCTGTGCAATGTGCAAATTTTTTTAATCAGTTATAAAAGTTATTTGCATTTCTAAGGATGTTTGCGCATGTTTATATATCAAGCATGTGTTTTTATGCTATTAAAAACTACTTATGTCAAAATTTCAAATTTTACTTCATATTCACTTATTTACTACTTATTTAAATTGTTAGAGTAGATTTTAAATATTTCTAATTAAAAATAAACATTTATAAACATAAAGCTAAAAACTTTGTAAAATATTAATATTTTCATATTTTATTTTCATCAAAAAACTTATAATCAATTTTAATCACATTATGTTAGAACAAGTTGTGTAGATTTTCTGTAAAACAACCCGACAAAAATAATAAAACGATGCTAGCATAAGGAAGTATTTTACTATGAAATTTTCATGAAAAAGGTGACATTCTCCCAATTGATGATCTTGAAAGATTAAGTTTCTTTTGATTTTATTCATTTTTAGGAATTGTTGGAAGTGGGTGTTTCCTTCTATTAGAATTGATTATCCTCCCGTGAACTTTAGAGTACTTTATTTTAAATTTTTTGCTGCATGTTGTCCTTTTTTCTTACAGACATTGTCATTCAAACATGTTAAATGACTCTAGAATATATTCAATTTCAATCTTCTTTTATTTCTTAATCCATTATTTTTTCAATTCTTTTATGTTTGTTTTAGTAAAGTTAATAAATGCTAGGATCTACCCAAATTTTTAAAAATATTTGTACATTTGAGCTGCTGCTTCAAAATTAAGCTGACTTCATAAATAATAATTGCATAAATAATTAAGTGGCAGTATCGAATATATATATATATA